GGGGGGGGGGGGGGGGGTTGACGGGTGTGTGCATGTGTGTGTCATTCGCTTCGCCCACAAGGCAAGGTCCTCGAAGAGGCAGTCAGTCAGTCCATGCGAACACTGTTCCTTCCCAGTGTGCTGTGTTTTTCATCTCGTGCCCTCTCTGTGCACCTACTTTGACATGTTTGTTTCCCCATTGATGTGCCGGCACCCTCCTTCAAGCAAGGGCCAGAGAGTCAAGCTCTGCGTCTCTCTGTCTGTCTGTCTGTCTGTGACGCTGCCCTCGTGCGGGTCTGTTTTGATTCTCTTGGGTAGCGCCTCGACTTACGTGATCATTACGATAGGAATCCATTGCAATGCTGCGGATTACGCCCACACGTCGGTCGATCGTGATCCGCATGGCTGGCTGAAATAAATGTCTGTCAAGCTTTGTGTTTTTCTGTCTGTCTGTTCGTGGCGATGCCCTCCCTCATGCGGGTCTTGTCTGTCTGGGTCTGTCTGGGTCTGTCTGGATCTGTCTGTCTGTCTGTCTGTCTGCACGTCCGTGTGTGTGTGCATTGGTGGAGGTGTCCATGTGTGTGCTGGGATGCACAGACTTGATTGCAGACATGACATTCATTGAGTGACTCTCTCCTTCTCTCTCATCCACCCACCGAATATATGAATCGTTCAGGAATACAACCAACCGTTGAGCCGCGTATGTAGATATCAAGCCAACCCCCACACACATACACATATACATACACATACCCCTCGCGCAACACATGCATCCATCCGTCAATTGTCAGTCCTCCAGTGCCGCCTCGCCCCCCTCCCCCGGCTGCCTTTCGCCGCCCTCGTCATCCACAAGCCGCAGGACGTCCAGCTGCAGAATGTCAGAGGGGCTGTCGAGCAGCGACCGGACGCTGGGGTGCGTGCGGCCCAGGTCGCCGTGCACCAGCTCCTTGACATACGTCCCCGCCTGCGTGCACACCCTCAGGGCAAAGAAATGACCGTTGATGTACTCCGCCTCCATCCAATGAATCGCCTTGGGCCTGACGGTCACACACCACTCACACCTATGGATGCATGTGGGTGTGGGTGTGGGTGTGGATGGGCTGGGTGCCCACCTGACGGCGGCCGATCGTCTGTGGAGCACTCTGAGTGGCGTCTTCTGCTGCACGGTCAGCGGGGCGGCGTCGCGCAACCTCTGCAGTGATGTCGGCGTGATGGCTTTCTCCGTCCACACGACACAGGCATACACCTTCTGCTTCTCCTCTGACGCACGCTGCATGTGCTGCATTGCATTGCCCGCACCAGCCACACACACACACACACACACCCCTCCAGACAGACAGACAGGTGGAAGGCGCCTTCCTCCCCCCCAGTCGCGCAGCGCACCATCATGAGCCGCTTGTCCGCCCGACGCATCTCCCGCACCTGCACCAGCCCTGAGACCACCTCACTGGGTCCCCCGTCAGCGGTCACATCCGCCGTCGCATCCCCACTCGCAGCCATGGCATCTTTGTCTTCACCCGTGTCGTCGCCATTATCATCCCCATCATCATCTTCCTGCAGACTCCCCCCGCACCGCTGGACCGCCACTTGATGCGCGTTGATGGCGGCCTCCAGGCTGGAGAGGGTGATGTCGGCTGGCGGGTAGGTCCGGCGGGGGTTCAGCAGCTCCACGATGAAGGGGCGGCCGTTGCCCAACATGCGGACGTCGACGTCCTCCCTCCCGGATGCGTGGAACTTGAATGTCTTTGCGCGGAAGGCTTCCTGCAGGGGAAGGCCGATCACCTCCTCGACGGACGAAGCCGTCTGCACACACACAGACACACACGCACACACACGTGTTCGGTCCGTGTTTAGGTCCCTCTGTGTGTGTGTGTGTGTGTGTGTGTTACCTACCCACCTTCTTTTGCCCTTCGACGAACCATGCTGTCTGGCTCAGCCTGCGCGTCAGCTTGAGATAGCGACCTGTGATGAAGATCGAGTCCCTCTCCATGTCGATGGCAGCCAGCTCCGCCCCATCAGTCACACGCGCCAGCAGCGTCCGCCACACCTCAACCCCCCTACCCGGCCCGCCGTCAGTGCTCTCCTGCTGCAGGCCCAGGAACTCCAGCAACTCAGATGCACTCCGGTGACCCAGCTCCTGATGGATGGACAAGAGCACAGCACACAAAGAGGGAGGGGACAGTCCGTTCTGGTCCACTTGTGCGTGTGCGTGTCGGTGTGTCCGTTGTGGATTTGCCTTCTGCAGAGTGGCCAGGGAAACCCCTTTGATGACGGCTTTCCTCTTCCTCCCCCGCCCCCGACCGCCGCCAGACGATGGCCGGTCCTTCCTGCCCACAGCGGTTGACCTGAAGTGGTCTTTCAACTCATCCTCAGCACCGGAGTGTCCAAACGTCACTGAAACCCTCAGAGCGCTCTCACCCTCGCCACCTGCTGATAAGGTGAACCCATCACGAGGCATGCACGACCCCTCGTCTGCATCATTCCGGAAGGCTCCTTTCCAGCAGCTGGTTGCCGTGGTCTCGACAATCCACCGGACGGCCTCCTTGAGGTCGACTACACGTCTTGCCTCCCAGTGTCTGCTCTCGAGAAAGGTCTTGACGACATACTGGCGGAAAAGCGCGTTGGGCGGCAGTGTGAGCAGCAGGGATGCCTCATGGACGTCCTCGTAGCGCTCCCGGCGTATGGCGGACAAGAGAGCCCGCTGGAAAGCGGCACTTGCGTCGAGGTGCATCAAGCCGAAGCAGAGACCGCAGTAGCCTCCGGATGCCGTCGCATCGTCAGGGCACACGCACAGAGGCAGCTGGAGGTCCTCGTCATCGTCATGGTGCGGTGGTTGCAGCGGTGTGATGAGTCTACAGGCCGCTGTGTCCCTCCTGCCTTCGAGGCGCATGAGGCATCGGTTGCAGAAGGACTCGCTCAGGCCGCCCAGTGCGGTCACGACCGATGAAGGTGCCGAGGAGTCGCCTTCCGCCATCGATTGTCGAGGCCATCCAGTGATTGCAGCGATGGGGAGATCTTTCTTCCAGTTTCAGCAGGGCGTTACGCTGCGGTGAGAAGATTTCTTCCAGACGTTCTGCTGGCCACGGTTCTGCGCGTTCGCGAGCTGTATGACGATCGGGGTGCAAACGTCGTTCGTTTGAAGCCCTGGAGGAGCTCAGGTAGTCCGCAATGTCAGGTTCAGGTGCCATGCAGGCTGACATAGGCGAAGATCAGCCGCCGCGCGATGCCACAGATGCTGACTATGATCCCGCGGCGGGAGCAGGGGCAGGATCTGCTTCGCACGAGCCGCCACCGCCGCAGAGGAAGCGAAGACGATTCGACGAGGTGGCACCGCGTACGGATGGCGAGGAGGTCGTGGTCGATGGCGAGAACGAGGATGCGGCTGATGCGCAGCAGGAGAGGGGCGTCAAGAGGAGGAGAGGGGACAATGACGAGAGTAGCGCGGCCAATGGTGCTTGCGAACCGCCACCAGCGTCTGGTGCCACTGGACCGTCGGAGGCAGATGCTCAGGGTACGCTGCGGTCATATCACATGACTGACATCCATTGACCGATATCGACCTCTGTCTGTCACGTAGGTGTCCCCCCACCGCCTGTTGATGCCAATGCTTCATCGACGACGATGATTCTGCCGCCGCTTCCCGAGCAGCCCGTCATGATCCTCCCACCCCTGCCAACGCCCATGCCACAGCAGCCCATTACCAACGGCATCAAGACTGAGGAGAATGATGCAGTCAAGGCTGAGCCGCCTGTCATCAAGAGGGAAGTCACCGATGAAGAAACCCAGGTGGGAACCTCACAAACCTCACACATACACTCGTACACACAACCTGGTGCATGGCTCGATGCGATTGATGTGTGTCGGTTCGGTGCTCGTACATCCATGTATGTGCAGAAGGCGGCCATGGAGGCGATGGATGCCGCGGCATCAGCGTTTCCTCCGGTCAAGAGTGAGGACATCAAGATTAAAGAGGAGGAGGAGGGCGGCGAGGGACTGGGTGAGGAGGACGAGAAGGAGCCTGGCGGTGCGGCAGCGGGGCCACCCGCCCCGTCGGAGGAGGCCCAGCGAACCATCGTCGTGTCAAACATCGCCCCATGTAAGCCAAATCCACACGGTGCCTACAAGGAAGGATACTGGCAGGGAGCTCATCCCTCCCTCTGTCCTGTCCTGTCTTCTCAGCGACTTTGTCGAGTTCGGTTCTGCAGTTCTTCGCCGGCGGCCTGAGCGTCCTCACCGGCAGAGAAGTCACACAGAGTACGTGTGGTGTGACACACAAGACAAGACATCACGCAAACAAGGTGTTGGTATTCCGTTCGTGTGTCCGTGTGTGCGTGTGTATGTGTGTCAGTGATGGCTCAGCTGAAGCTGCAGCGGTACGATGTGATGGAGAGGGTGGCCGTCTTGGAGTGCCCCGACATTGAGACCGCCAACATAGCCTGCCAGCGACTCAACGGTCGGTGAGAGAGTGTGCAGTGCGCTGTGCACAGGTGCCATTGTGAGCACCGTTCATTCGTTGATTGCTTGGTGCATGGCATGGCATGGCAGGCATCAAGATGGGGGAGTTCACGTTGAACATTCAGACGAAGGCTGACGTGGAGCGCCAACAATTCGAGAGGGCCGCAGAAGCCGAGATGCAGGCCCTCATGGCGTAAGCTACCTACCCAACACACACACACACCCGATCGGTAGGTACGAGGCGCGCTTCGCTTCTCCCTCTGTCTGTGTGTCAATCAGTGCTGAGGGTATGCTGCCCGAGGGTGCCAGCCCGGCGTCGGCCGAGCCCGCTGGCCCGCCCGACTACCGGCTGCTGGTGCAGAACCTGCCCATGGAAACCACTGATGCTGCAGTGAGTTGGCCAGGCCAGGCCACCGATGGATGGATGGATGGATGTACACCAACCAAGACAAGACACGCCATTATGTTATGTGTGGTGTGTATGTGTGTGGTTCGGTTGTCAGGTTCGGGACATTGTGGGTCAGTTTGGTAAGATCAAGACATTCGAGCTGCTGCGGGACCCCGGCACGGGCACGTCCAAGGGCATTGCCGTGTTCGAGTATGAGGATGAAGGCGTCACCGATGTCGCCCTGCAGGTGGGTTGGGGGCGGGCTGGGGGTGGGTGGGCGATCGATTCGATCAAGACAAGACACACAGTGCAGTACACACAGACAGACAGACAGACAGATGCCACCAGGATGACCCCAGGGATTGCAATCGATGGACGGATGAGCGTGTGGTTTATGTGAGGTCCCCCCTCCCCTTCCTCATATGTATGTAGGCTTTGAATGGTATGGTGTGCTTAGGCCGCAACCTCATTGCCAGGAAAGCCTCGCAGGGCGTGCTTCCCATCGCTCCACAAATCGTACGACAGCCACCTCACATCACCTCACCTCACCTCATCCACCAGACAGCCCGCCAGCCAGCCAGCCAGCCAGCGAGAGCCCACCAGGGAGTGATTGTTTTGGTCTGGTCCGGTCTGGGCATCTTCGTGTGTCGTGTGGTGTGTGCAGGTGGTTCGTTCTGACCCGAACATGCCCGTGACAGCGCTGCCGTCATCCGTCACACACCGGGTCTTCTCCAACCCCATCGTCGGCACACAAGTAGCCAGCCACTTCCTTCCTCCTTACTCCAGCCGCACTTACATCTGGTGTCTGATCCGGTGTGTCGTGTCATCTCCTCAGGTCAAGGCCGGTCGTCGCCGCGGCGGTCAGCCCACCAAGGTGGTGCAGCTCCTCAACTGTGTCTACCAGGAGGACCTGGTGAGTACCTTAGTCCGTCAGTCAGGCAACCAGTGAGGATCCCTGAGTCGTCGCCTCTTGTGCATTTTTGGGTGGTCTCTCTCTTTTATGTGGTTGTGTGGTTGCAGATGAACGACACGGAGTTCGAGGCGTTGGAGAAGGAGATCCGCGAGGAGGCCGCCAAGCACGGCGCCCTGGTGGATGTCGTCATCCCACGGCCCCCGCCAGACCTCTCCTACAAAGAGGGCGTGGGCAAGGTGTGTCAGCGAGTGACACGACACACAGTCGCAGACCACAGCCACAGCCAGCTGTCATATGTGGGTTGCATGTGTGGTGTGCGTTGCGTCGCGTGTCAGGTGTTTCTGAGTTACGCTGACGAGACGTCGTCTCGCCGTGCGCAGATGATGCTCAACGGTCGCAAGTTCGACCAAAAGCATGTGGTGTGCGCCGCCTTCTACCCCGAAGACAAGTTTAACGAGGGCAAATACACACTGCTGTGACTGACAGCACACAAGGGCCGGCCAGCTGATGCTGTCTGTGCTCGTACCCAGCGACGGCGCCGCCGGTGGGTGGCAGTGTCTTGCTCCTCTCGTAAGAGGACATGGCTGCTGTGACTTGTCGGCCGTCATGGCGTGGCGTAGCTGGATAAGCAGAGAGGATGGATGGATGGATGGATGTTGCTTTTCCTCCCTTCTCCAGCCAGTGAGTACTATATGGCTCTCATATGTCTGTCTGTCTACCTTGCGTCTGTATACCGGAGAGAGTTGATGTGTACCTACAGAATTCGTGTTGTGTCTCCTTGGAGGCCTGGCTTCCTAATCAACCGCCAAGTCACCGACTGAGGTGCACTCACACTGAGGCGCAGCGATTCAGTCGATGGCATGGTGGCTGGCGAAGGGGTGACCGGACCGACAAAGCAGGACCGAGAACGAACACGATGCATGCATCATATGGAAGCCTATGCAGTGCACACGCATTCATATGATCTTCATCAAGAGTCCGGCCAGGTGGTCAAAGAGCTTCCTATCCAGCTGCCCCAGTGCAGACAGTCCACCAAACACCCTTGCCACTGTCCAGTAAGCGCTTTGAATGCCCCCCGCCTCGCTCCTGTCCGTTTGCCCCTCACCATGCTCTCCCCATGCACCACCAGACACCACCCCACCCCCCCGCTCCAACACATTCCCCCTGTCCATCAACACGCGCTTGATGTCCTCGGCCAGCTGAGTGATGAACTCCCGCACCTCTTCTGTCTCTTGTCGATGCTCATCCATCCGGCTCGATGCTGCGGCCAGCCCGGTAATGATATGGCTGAGGTCCTTCATAGGCAGGCGGGTCAGAATCATGCGCAACGCGGTCATCTGAGCCGCAGATGGGGCGTACGGGATGTCGGGTGGCGGCTGCGTATCGGCCGCAGGAGCATGGGTGCAGGTCATGGCGAGGAGATAACAGCCGATCGCCGGCCAGAGGTGATGCAGCTCTTGCACAGGCGCACCCCTGCATCCATCCATCCATCAATCCATTCATCCGAAACGTATGCGTGTGAGGCTGCCGTGCCGTGTCGCCCTGTGTGGTGTGGTGTGGTGTGGTGTGCATACCTGCCGAATCCTTCCACGAATGTCCCCAGCTGCAGGTCACGAACGTCGATGTGCGCCGCGTCCCCTACAGAGGCCAGCCTCCCCCCATAGTCACTTATCAGCCACCGAGAGACCTCAGAGAAGAAAGGACCGCTCTGCTCGCCTTCGGCAGCAAAGACGTAAGCCACAAAGGCGAGTGAATGGGTGTGGTGGCCCACAAGCATCCGCGTCAAGGCAGCCTGAAGGCGCTCTACTGACGGTGAGGACACAGCCTCCCCCCTCTTGGTTTCTCTCAACGTTGCCCATGCGACTGACGGCAGGTCGGCGGCAGAGAAGTGGGGACCCCGCTGCTCTACTTCCTTGGTCAGAGCGGTCAGCACTGCCTCGCTACGCGCCGCACTCAGCTGCTGGCTTTCTCCCCGATGGACACAGTAGCTCCACAGGAGGTTGGCCACAGCCTGGTGAGAATAGCTCGCGAGAATGCCCCTCCTGCCGTCAGCGAGTATGCGATGCTCCACATGACGAAAGAAGGCCACAATCATGCCTGCAGTGCGACGATCGTGGCGCTGGTGCTGCTGGTGGCGCCACGTGGTCAGTGCCCATGCAAGGGTCGACATCTCCTTCGGCTTCAGAGAGCGGAAATCACCGAGGACGCGGCGGATAGCATGGCTGATAGCAGCAGCATCGACCGCCCAGTTGAGCCGCGCCAGCCCCCAGACCGACATGCTCACCTCCTGGAGCCTCATTCTTTCCCAACTGCTGCGAGCGAGGAGCATGTCGAGCAGCCCACGCCGCAGATCTGAAATGGCCTCACGGCAGCGCTCATTTCTGAGCAGTCCCCTGTTCTTGAGCGCGGCCAACGCCCACAGCAGGTTGGCCACTGCCTGAGGATCGGCCGCTGGGAGATGGATGTGCTGAAAGAGGGACGCTAGCATCAGGGGCGTCGCAGGCGTGTGGAGGGTGCCATCCTTGGCCAGTCGATAAACAACAGCCACCGCATTGCGGACGTCCATTTGGGGCAGCTTGGTCTCCAGCAGCCACTGCAGCACCGCTGGGGTTGTCGCCTCGTCCATGATCTGTGAGTTGATCCGTCGGTTGAGCTTCTTCTTCTGCACTGCTGATGGGGGATCTGGGTTGGGCAGGTGGTCACGGTGTGTGTCAGGCTGGACATCAGTTCTCATCCTCCTTGTCTGCCGCTGCGCACGGAAAAGGGCTGGTTCATGGGCAATTCTCCAACGCCAAAAGCAGCTGCCTCTCGGGCTCCTTCCCAGCATCCATCCAACACAACACCCAGCGGCCGGGTACGAGGGATTCCCCCTGGAGCGACGATCTCCGGCAAGCTCGCATGTCTTTTTTCACCCAAAGTAAGTTAGGACAGCGAAGCAGGCAGTTCTCACGAGTCAGGGAGTGTCAGAGAGACCAGTTGCGCACAAAGGCTTGAAAGACAACTCCACACACGCCTGCGAAGTCGCAGATCTCTCACCCGTCCTGTGTGTGTGTTGCGCCTGTGTGTGCGCTTTCAGAAGACTGCAACATCTCGTATATGGCTATTCCAGTGACGATGACACGAGATTCGTGGAGGGAGGTTCTCGCGAGAGTCCTCCGAGGCACGACAAACTCGAGAGAGCTGAGCTGGAACAACCAATAGCCATCGACGAGGGGAGGGCAGGGGAGGGGGTTTGATCCCACTGTTTGTGTCTTCTTCTTGTGTTCCTCTTGCCTTGCTTTCACCCACCGGCGAGCATCCTCGCCCCCATGTTACTTGCTTGGTATGTTGATGGACGGACGCGGATTGTTGCGCTGCTCGAAAAAGGCCACGCCAAGCGGGCAAGACAGATATGGACGCTAGTGGACTCATGCTGATGTCATGTCAGCGTCCTCCAACAGGACATTACACATGGCATGCCATGGGATGGCAGCTCAAAAGGAGCTCCCTCTCATGGAACATACAGTGTGTTCCACTAACACGTACGTCCACAGCTGCCTTCGCACAAGGTAGACAGCCAGGCAGGCAGGCAGGCAGGCAGTACCCATGGTGAATCACGAGGTGACAGCTGCTGATGCAGAAGATGCACTGGCCGATGTGCTGTGGTGGAACACCCCGTCCGTCTGTGGACCGGGTGTGAGGGCATTGGGGCGTTTGGGGGGGTACTTGAACACATTCAGCAAAGCGTCCTTGAACACGTTGATGTTGTAGTCAAGCTGCACAAACAAAACATGCACACACAAAGTAAGGGTGGGACATGACATGTACAAGCATTCACCACCTGCTGGTGGTGCGGGTGGGTGGGTGTTTGTGTAACTGACTGACTGACCATGTGCTGTCGGTCAAAGTACTCCTCCCGGACCACACACACGAGAGCAAGGAATCTGATGGACAACGGGAGATGGATGCGCTACCCTACCCCGTGTGTGAGAGTGATTTGGTTCGCAGCGCACCTGTCGACTTCCCTGAGGTAGAGAAGTATGTTGTTGTCGAGGTTGATGACACAGTTGGACTGCGCGTCGTACTGACTGTCGCTCATCGACCTGAACAGACAGGCATCAACCAGATGGCGCCTGTGCGTCGGTGGCTGTGTGGCGGTGGCATCAGCGGAGCGTGTGTGCCGCCCGCCCGACCGACCGACCCATATATGCACGAGACATCGATGACGACATCGATCATGTCGGAGCACAGCTCGTACACGTGCGCATCCACAGACGATGTGTCTGACACGACACACAGCACAGCACAGCACAGCAAGGGCACAGCACATGGCACACCCCATAGCATACCCCTAACCCACCCGTGGCGATGAAGAGCTTCGACACGACGTCAAACAGAAAAGCCTTCTCCATACGACACGTCTGCACACAGACACAGAGACACACACACAGCCTTGACCACGCAATCAATCAGCGGCACTGCACCGAATGGGTGTGCATTCATCTATCCATCTATCCATCAGTGGGTGGGTGTGGGTTGTGTTGCGTACGGTGACGAGGAGGTCTAGCAGCTGTTCGAGTGTGGGTATCTGTGGGATGAGCCGCTGCACCACTCGACTGAACGCCTCGAACACCGTGTGGTCGTATATACTGAACAGAACACACATTCACGTTTGCAGACAGAATGAGGGAACGGACGGGTGGGTGTTTTGATTGACGGAGTGTGGCTGTTGTTTGACCTGGTGGCATTGAAAGTGACGTTGGGTTCTTTGAGGCCCCGCTCGTACAAATGCTCCATCAGGTTCGTGTGGATCTCACGCTGACAGTCTGCACACACTCAGACAACACACACCACACAGGAAATGCATCGATCGCCTCTCATCTGTTATGTATGGTGACACATGCATACCGATCTTGGCCCCATCTGACGACGCGAAGACGTCACCGTCGACCTGACGGCACACAGAGGGGCAGCAGGTTAGATTTGTGTTGATTGGGTAGGGTAGGCCTACACCTGTCTGTCGTCCCTCCCTGCCTGCCGCTAACCTTGTGGATGAACACCTCAAAGTTGATGTTCTTGTTGACCTGCTCATGTCATGTCATGCATAGGCACACACACACGACAGAAGCAACACAAACAAGATCCAGGCATCCATCCATCCACCCAGCCATCCAGTCAGTCGCCGACGCGCTCCGCTCATCCCCTGGATGTGATGCGCTTACGTTCCAGGCCCTGGTGATGACCTCAGTGGCATGTTTGATCTCCGCCTGGTAGGGCTCGTTCTGCGCCGATATGACCACGATGAGTGCGCTGGTCTTGGAGTAGACGAGCTTCTCCTGCGACTCGTCGGGGATGAGCCCGCTGGGCGCGTCGCCGATGGCGAAACGGATCAGGTTGTTGGTCGCAACCCCTGCAGGCACAGATAGATGTCAACACACCGAGATAGATGGTTTGTCTGGTGCTGTGTGCTGGTCGGTGTGTGTGGGTTTTGTGGCTGACTGACTGACTGACTTTGCACGTCGATGGTGAAGCTTCTGTTTGGCGCCAGCTCGAAGGTCTCGTAAGGGGAAGTCTTGTGGAAGATCACTCGAATTATGGAGGTCTTCCCGGCCCTACCAGGTGCACAGACAGACACAGACACCATGGATGGACGCATCGATGAAGGCAGCTCTTTGCTCGTGTGCAATTGCTGGTGCGTATCTGCCTACTTGGGCAGCCCAACCATTAGGATCTTGGGCGTGTCGTCCAGCCATATCTCACGACTGCTCAACACACACACACATGCACACACACACAAAAGACGTCCAATGTCTGCAGTGGAATGCATTGTGGTAACACTGTGTGCCATCCCTCTTGCCTCTCGTCGTCGGCGAATATTCTCTCAGGAGCCGCCTGCACACATCACACAAAGCACAGTCAGCAAGGCTGAGAGCGTCATCAGCGTTCCAACGCTCACCATCTTCAAACGCGATGGTCAATTCGTTTCAGATCTCTTGAGACGCCGCACAGCACAGCGCGCGGTTTCTTCTTCTCCCTCCAGAGTGCGAGCTTTTCTGCGAGGCAAGGGAGATCAGCACGGCTGTGATCTTTGACTTTTCGGCGACATACGTAGCATCCGCGGCATGTGCGTTGCGCCGATCCTGTTTGCAGCTGTGTTGGTGGTGTATGTGGTTGAATGTGTGAAGGTGTATCCGCGTTTCGAGGAGCAGTACTTCGTGCGTCGGGGCGCCAGCAGAAACACCTTCTTCCACTACCCAGTGAGGCAGGGAACCGTACCTTGCTACTGCGTCCAGGTCACTCACTCACATTAATTGCATTCACATGCACCGGATGGATGACTTATGCAATGCACTTGTCGGTCGGTCGCCGATTGACTGTCTTGTCTGACATGCTATGCTGTGCTATGCTATGGTATGCTGACCAGACGCCGGCCAAGGAGTACACGTTCATTCTGTCGTCGGGCCCGCTGTTCCGGTCCACACTGTCCAACCGGAATGCCTCATGGTCATGCACCACCAAGGGCGGCGGCAAGACCGTGTGCGCCTTCGTGACGACGCAGCGAGTGGTGGACCGTCCTGTGTGTGTGGAGGGCATGAGGACTGTGGGTGCGTCCAGCCGGGGCAGTGTGGTGGTCGAGTCGCTCGAGTCGCCCTTCATATTCGCCATGCGGACCAGGCAGGAGGAGGACAGGCTGCCCCACAACAAATGCGTCACGGGGCAGATGAGCTTCATGACACGCCTGGTATGCTATGCGATCAAGGAAGCGAGTCTGCTCTGCGTGGATGTGATGTCATGTGATGTGATGTGACGTGATGTGTAACCACCGCAGACGGGTCGGTTTGGGTGGGAGCGGCAGACGTTTACATATGAGATGGAGTACGAGGCATCCGACAGGGAGAAAGCCGACACAGCCAAACAACAGGAATACGTAAGTAAAAGCCAAACGGACAGACGGACATGGCATGGCGCACACAGCCCAGTGGAGCACAGCAGCCTGACACACTGGACTGTGTGCCTGACCTGACTGGTCGGTTGATGCGATGCGATGCCTGCAGGTGACTAAGTTCTACTGGCTGTTGAATCGGCTGCTCAAGGACGACGTCGTGGTGGTGCTCGATGGCTACACATTCGACGGACACGACTCATGGCGAATACAGGTGGGTGGGTAGATGCATCGATGACCCAACACAACCACCCAACACCCAACACGAGGGATGCCCTCCCTACCCTCATTCTCTCCCCCCCTCCCACCGTCAGATCACCTACTATGCGCCGATGCGTGGCGTCGGCCGGGGCTTTGCTAAGCGTGTGAGCAGGTCGCCGCGTCAGGTGTTTGCGGCCGTGCTGCGCAAAACACGGCCGTCCCGCAGGAGGCGGAGGAAGCCACGGGGCGGGCCGACGGCATCGTATGACATTGTCGAGGCACTTGTGCAGCCGATGGGCGAGGCGGCAGCGCCGCTGGAGGGGTGAATATGCCATAATTGATGCGTGACGTGACGTGACGTGACGTTTCGTGTGGTGTACATAGCTTAGTCAGACAGAGAGAGCTGCGACTTCTTCGATCGTATATATATAGATAAACTTCATGATGGCTGCACAGACAGACAGAGAATTCGCTGATCAGATTGATGTGTAGAGAGTGAGTGTAGGTAGGGTGGTAGCAATTGGTTGGTGTGCATTGTATGCGCGTAGAGACAGACAGACATACAAACAGGCTTGTTTGATGCTATGCACGCAGTAGCTATAGCTGTCAACCAACCAATATCAGCGGTTCGGGAACGTGCACCCTGGGGTGCTGTGCTGTGGGGCGCTTTGGCATTTCCAGCTAGCTGGGGGTGTGGGTGGGTGCACTGCACTGCATCAGTAGCCAGCCCATCGGCAGTGTTGGAACAACCAGGCGTACGGTGCCCGTTGACTACTCCTGCAGCTCACCAGGGAGGGCCCCTGACGTTCATCAGAACAGACAACATCCATCCGGTCTCCATGCCTATCTGCCTATCTGCCTGCCTGCCTGAGGACACGAAGGAAAAATCTACGACCGACCCTTGGAATGACTAAGTAAGTACTGAATCACACCCCCGCCTGACTTACACCACACCAGCCCCAATGCCATCTATCCCTACAGATGAGGTGAGGTCTGCCAGGTTCATTCCCTACTGAGCAGGAGCCGTCCCGCGTCCATCCATCCATCCATCCATGACACACGCGAATTACCTCCTCTCGCCATGTCCAAGTTTCTCGTGCCGCTCTCAGGACACGCAGCACCACCACACAACACAACACGACACAAAAAAATCACTTCGGCAGCCTGAGGCTTGTCTCTCCACCACCGGACGCCTGCCTCTCTCTCTCTCTCTCTCTCGCTGTGTGTGATTCAGAATCCTTGATCAAGACACATTGCAGGAGGCGGAAAAAGGTCCGGTGTGTGGAGAGAGGTGCACTGAGCGCCGCCTCTCTGACACCGCACCACACCACACCACATGATGCATAGCACACAGGTGCACACATGGACCCACAGACAGACAGACAGACAGACAGACAGGTGCGGTGCACGTACGATAAAACCCCAAACACACACACATCCATACATACGGCTCACGCGCACGCAGTCATCCGTCCGTTGATGAAAACAACAACAGCAACACAATACATAGCTAGCTAGCTAGGGTAGACAGACGTTGTCAGTCAGCGCAGCCCTTCGGGCAGCCGGTCGGTCATCGATCGGATCGGTGGGTGTTGAGTGTCCGTGTGTCTCTCCGTTGAGTGTCTATCCCAGGACGAGTTTCTTGAGTTTGACGAGGATGTTGTCGTCCTCTGGGAACGACACACCCAACTCACTGAAAGTAGGACACACACACACACACACAGAGAGACAGAGAGAGAGGGTGCCGCTGCGAGTCGGGTTGGCATTTCTGTTCCCTACGTGAGTTTCTTGAATGCCCGTGCAAAGTCTTTGAAGAATCTGTCCTCATCCTTGGCGTACACCTCCACCCACCTCTTGAACTCCTTGTCCTATAGAAACACACACACACACACCACCCAGTGGTTTGAACAGTGTCTGAGGGAGCCTGGCTGGCTGGCTGGCTGCCTGTTTGTGTGTGTACGTCAGTTGCTACCTGTATGAGAGCGATGTCACTTGGGAGCATCATGAGCTCGCCCGTCGGATCCTCATACTACAGCCGACACAACACAACACGACACAACACAGCGGATTCATCCTCACTCTTGTAGGTGGGTCCGCGTCGGTCAGTGTCCGGGTGAGCACGAAAAGGCGTACGTACCTGAAGTGGTCCGGTCCATTTCTTGCCCTCGTGCGTCTTCTTGGGCGACCACTTCTCCTCCATCAACAGCCTAAACCACACAAACATACGCACCCTCTGTGCAATCAGGACTGCCCAGGACGGTGTCCAAGAATTCACTACTCTTCCGTACCGGAAGTATTCGTTAGAGAATGTGGTGGGTGCTCGTGTCCAGGGCCCCCAATAGCCGCTGCGGTCCGTGTGGCAGCGGCCCAACGCATGAGCACCAGACAGAGCTACCATCTCCTGATCGTTGAACCCCATACGACCAAATATGTCCCTGCACACAACACAACACATGCACGCACCCATACACACGTCATGTCATGTCATGTCATGCCATGCCCCCTCTCTGCCTGAGTGGAGTGTGTGTGGTCGGTACGGTAATGTACCTACCTGATGTGTTGGCAGGTGGAGTTGGGCTGTCCCTTGTCAGCGTCCGGCAGGCGGCCGTTGGGCGGCACTGTGGATGCGTCGGGTGCGTCGGTGCGGCCGGGTCTGAACTCGATGGAAGGGCCGCCCATCTCCTCTATCGCCGTCACGCCAGCGAAGATCCACAGGTCAGCCAACGACACGTTGGGGTACTTGTCCTTTATCGGAGCCAACATCTGACAGACACAGATGCCATGCCATGCCATCCACAACACCCGCGTCGGTATCCTATCCTATCTCTCTGTGTCTGTCTGTTCACTCTGTGTTTGTCACGTACGTTTCTGGCGATGTGGAGGCCTGCGTTGGCCCCGTCGGTCGACTCGGGGGTGAAACGCATCGTAGCACCATCTGCCGAGCCGGACGGGCCAGCCATCCATAACGCCACACCACACGGACAGTTGGATGAAAGACGTGTACTGTTGATGGTTGCTGTGTGCTGCAGTGCAGTGCCCTCACTTGATCCTCCCGTCTTGGTGGCCGAGTCGTAGGTGCCGGACGCGTGCCTGACACACCGTATGGTATATATGAGCCACCCCATCCACACAAACACACATGAGGACGATACTTCCATGGTGTGTGCCGGTGCTCACCATGCGAGGCGGACGAGCACCGGTCCAGGAGGCTCCTTCTCGTACCTTAACCAACAAACAGAAAGATGGAACACAGAATCAGTGAAGATCTGGCAGTCCCACCCCCCGGGAGCGATGCTCACTGACTTGTCGTCTTCGAGCAGTTTGCAGATGTCGGCTCTGACGGCCTTCCAGTCGACCTTGTCGCTCTTGTCCTTGGGCAGCTCACACATGGCCTCGCCGACAGACGAACCGCCAACCACCATGGCGCCTGCGGCAGACGCCCATATCCACCCTCCCATCCCCTCCGTCTGAGATCCGCTGCGACGCCCGTAGCTCTGCTGCTGATGCTGCTGCTGGCCTCCATGCTGCTGGTGGCTGCCTCTGCCCGTCACAATGGAGCGTGCAATGGTGGCCAGAGGGGCGGAGCGGCGGGCGGCCGCCAGAGGGATGCTCCGGGACAACAGCGAAGATGGGACACCAACCTTCATCATGGTCTCTGAATATCAAACGGCGCGAGCTCACAGCCTTTCGCGCTGAGATATCTGACACACCAGGCTCCCCCTCTTTTTGAGAGGAGCTGTCTTGCGAGCTAAGCTCGAAGGGGGGGCGTTTTCTGCCCTTCCACCTCGCTTCGGCAATCAGTTCGCAGCAGATACGAGAGGAGAAAGGATGTCACTGACGGGGGAAGACGGTGCCGATGCTGTCGGGTTTGTTCAGTTCTGGGGCAACTCGCCGGCCGTCAACCTCTTGGAGCACCTGCATCTTGCGCCGAATGGCGAGACAGATGCCGTGGACAGCAGCCCCATCGGCATCTTGCTCTCCGGGGCGGCTGATGTGCGGCACGACCTGCTGACGCTGACCAAGCTGCATGGGGTCGACCTGAGAGGGCGGCAGCTGCATGTAGGGCCAAGGGCGAGGCAAAACACCCATTCATTACGTTTGGCATGCATGCATGCATGAATCTGGGTGTGGGACGTTGTGTCGTGTCGTGGTGTTGTCTGGTGCGTGCGGGTCAGGTATATCTTCATGAGAGCTCGATTGAGGTGTTGGCCCGGCACCTCCTGCTGCTGGATCTGCTCCTCAACACAGGCATCAGCATCAGAGGTGACCACACGAGCCCGACGGACGGACGGACGGACGCACCTCACAGGAGACGGAATGAAAAACGTGTGTGTGTGTGTGACTGTTGGTCCTTGACAGAGCGTGTTGAGTATTTCCTGGATTTGTTTGGTAACTGTTTGCTTCGCGACAAGACCGCCCACTATCTCAAGGCACGCACCCCACAGCTGCTCAAGTAGCCAACCAGCCAGCGACGCGAACCGAACACACATGAGTCGTGTCGTGTTGCCCTCTGGGTGCAGGTACGTTCATGACGACACATCTCCATCGCTGCACCGCCTGATGGACCTCTCGCATCTAAAGTTCAAACACAGAGACGACCTGCAAGGCAGACAACGACGCACCACCGCACCTTACCTGCCAGGCTGGCTGGCCTCCATCCATCCATCTTTCTGTCTGCTGTCTCGGTCTCTCTCTGTCGCAAGCAGCTGTGTTTGAGAGCTGGGTTGCATCGGGTTGCGAAGAGGGTCGTTTCGACGTTGAGGCGTTGCGTGAGCAGCGGCTGCGAGGTCTGTACCAGACGCGGTACGACCACCGGGTCAACCTTATGGACTGGACCTACACCATGCACATCAAACCACTGGTTGGTATTCATGAATCAATCAATCGTGGACACACCAACACACAGTGGCCTGGGCGATGTGTGGAAATGTACTCGGCGTGTCTGTGTGTGTAGGCTCCCATCATCCACTGGCTGCAGTACAAACAATTCTGTCTGACCGGTGAGACAGAGATGCCTTATCTAGCGCATGGGTCGACGAAGACCATGTGTCTGTCCGTGTCTGTCAAGGTGTGTCGTTCGAGACTCGCCTCGCCCCCCACACCCACCCCAACCCCACCCTGGCCGCATATATACCAGCTAAAGATGTTAGCATGTCGTCACGAGCCACACACGACGACATGTCATGCTTGGATCAATGTGTGTCTGCATTGTGTGTGTCAGCGTCGCCGTCAGCAGAGTGTGTTGGTGCGTGGGTATTGGGGCGATGTGGTCAACTCGCCTTTCATGTCGTTCGGCATCGACACGGACACCCAAGACAAAGACCGGCTTTGGAGGACCGTCAACAAAGAACAGAGACACGTACAACTTTTCCACCCAGGCAGGGCGCCATCCACCCCTCTCTCTATGTGGGTATGTTATGTGTGTGTTGGGAACGGGACGCCAGAACGCGCAAGAGGTGTCAAAGTTCAACCTGACAGCGTGGCTGAACGAGCTCGAGACACACCAGCCCTTCCACCTACCACCGGAGAGACACGAGGAATCCGAGTGAGTGAGTGAGCGAGACATCAATGAATGAATGGGTCCATGCCATGGATGTGTCAAATGGGATGGATGTGCTGCGTGACGTGACAGGTATCCGTATCCCTCCCCTTTGGATTCCTTGAACCCCAAAGTGGAGGAGCTCGAGCTTGATGACACTGCTCCCGTCTCACGACAGGACGGAGCCACGTCACGGCTAGAGGTCCCATCAGGTAGGTCAGAGCAACACACAGGTACATCACATCACAGCAAGCAGTCAGTCCATGTGTGTCTGTCCACTTGTTCAGGACTGAGTCATGTCAAGATCGTGTTTCTCACGGGCGACTTGCCCCAACTCCTCAGCAAAACCAGGTGAATCTGCCCAAGGACACACGGTCCATCCATCCACCCAGTGCAGTGCTCCCCGTTTGCTCCTCCTGTCTTTCGTGTGCAGATACGGCAGCAAGTTCGATTTGATGTATTTCGGGAACCTGGCCGTCTCGCCGCTATTCGGGGCCACCAACCTGCTCAACAAGCCGGCTGAGCCCACCGTGGATGACAGCTCTCCAGCTGCTGCTGATGATGTGATGACGGCAGCTGACGGTGCGCCGCGGGCTGAGTGGCTGACGGGCGCCATGAAGCCCCAATGCAGAGTTGTCGTCGAATCGTTCAAGTGAGTGCGACACGGGTCGCCTTCCACAGTCAAGCCAATGACTGTCTCTCTATCTGTCGGCTTGATGGGCGTGTCAGGTACATGGTGCACTACAAGCCATCAGTGCGCCTCAGATACCGCAGCAGACTTCTCGAGGCAGCCAGACGCATGAACTGGACACTGGCGAATGACGCTGCCGGTGGGACAACACAATGAACACCATGCCCTTAAACACACACACACACACACACACACACACGACACACACACACGCCTCTGTCTGTCTCTGTCTGCCTGCAGCGCCTCCTGCCGAGTTTGATGCATGTGTTGACGGTCAAGGCATGAAGGAGCCACAGGCCAACGAGGTGGAGGCCAAGGCTGACACGTTCATGGTGTTTGAGGCCGCCATGAGGGGGGATGGTGTCGCAGATGTGTGTGCGGACGGGAGGGAGGAGGGGGCGGTGCGGACTATGGCTGCATCGCAGTGAGTGATGGTGAAGATGTGACAATCCACGTGTTCCTTAATCGAACCAACATGGAACCAGTGCTTTGGTTGCGTTCCAGCCTACAGCCTACAGCTTGTGTTCGTATGTATCTACGCATGTGTACACACATGTTGTTCGCTTTTGCAATTGTTCTCTTCGCTGTTGCAAGTTGTTGGTTTGGTGTTTGCTCCGGCTCTTCTTGTGATTGATTGAGTGGCTCTTGCACACAGGAGACACAGACAGAGTGAAGCATCAATCAATGTCATCGATCATGTCAGCCGTCAAGGAGACTGTCCCCGAGCTCAAGGGCAGTGTGGTGCCGATGTCGAGTGTGATGCGTCGCAGCAGCAGCTCGAGCGAAGTCTCCAAACCCCTCAAGGTAAGCAAAGCAAGCCATCGAAATTTGGATGTCTGTCCCTGTGTCTCGTTGTGCTCAGCGTGTGTCGTTCGTGTCCTCGACGGCGGCAAGCACCGTCGAGGTCGAGGCCGAGCAGCACACACACGCCGAGAACGAGACACACACCGAGAATGAGAGACACGACCTCATGCAACTCGTCGAAGGTCTGCACGAGTTGGTGTGCACTTGTCAATCTCTGCGTGGGTGTGTTGGTGTGTGATTCAGTTTTGATGTCTCGCGAGAAGGACCCGCACCTGGTGTCTGGCCCCATGTCTGAGTTCTGCCTTGTAACTAAGGATACACACGGAAACCAATTGAGGAAAGCAGATAGCGACATGGCTGGCTGTGTGTCGATCTGTCTGTTGCCAGCGCACTGTGACTCGCGAGCGTCGTTCCGTGTTCGTCGGCCATCTGCTCAAGGCATGCATGATCGATCGCACGCACCATTGACAGACACGACCAACCACCACTTCTGAGTGTCATGGCTGCGTGTATGTGTGTGCAGGCGTGTCGTGGTCTGTCGCTGAGCCCGACAGTGTTTCAGCTTTCCGTTAATTTGATGGACCGCTTCTGTGCCAAGACCAACATTGCCCTCACGCCGAGCGAGATAGGCCTCATGACGCCAAACGTAACAGACACACACACACACACAGACACACACATGACGGGGACCGCCCATCTCTCTGTGTGTCTCTTGTGTGTGTGTGTGTGTGTCAGTTCCTGCTCCTGGCCTGCAAAAGCCATGACGACATCAAGGGGTGACAGATAGATAGACGTGCACGCAACACAAGGCATCACACACACACACAGACGGCCAAGCCACTTCACTGCTCTGTGTGTGTGTTGTCGTTAATTATGCAGTGAGATTGTGTCCATGACGAGTGCGTTCCTGTCCGTCTACACTCAGTGCGATGCGGCCGAGGCGAGTCGGCAGGTCAAGCGGCTGAGCCAGCAGGAAGGAATGATCCTGTCGTGCCTCAACTACCGCGTCCACACGGCCGTCCTGCCAAGTCAACTCTACGACGTCTTTGCTGAGGTCGGTGAGGCCAATGATGGCAGGCACACCACAAGGCACAATGCATGTGTGTGTGTTTGTGTCTGAAAGGTCGGTGGCATCACAGCCGACCACCCCCAAGGCTGCCCCAAAACAGGCACACACACACACACACACACACAGAGAGAGAGAGAGTGTGTTTGTTTGTGCAGTTGGTGTGTATCTGTTGGAGTTGTCGTTGATCGAGGGCCTTCACCTCGACTTTTTCCTCAGCACACTCGCCGCCTCGTGCACTCTGCTCGTCCTGCTGGTCTGCCTGCCTGCCTAAGTGCCTGCCTGCACACACACGGGACGGGCACCAAGACATGGGCCACCATGTTTGTGTGCAGCTGCTGGGCCGGGAGTGGACCGACGAGCTGACGACAGTCACCAAACACACGAGAGTCAGTGGGGGCCACACAGAGACACATAGACATACACCACACCACACCGCTCCCTCTCTCTCTCTGTGTCATCCATCGCATCAAAAGGACGAGCTGGCTATGTGTGCGCGTGAGGTCATCAAGCTGCACGAAAGAGCGCTCGACGGTGAGAGGGAGGGAGACAGAGATATCCATCCATCCATCAATGTGTGTGTCTCTCTCCGGTGTGTGTGTGGCAGAGTATGCGTACCTCGAGTACCACATCGGCGCGTGTTGCATCACGAGCGACTGGAATCCAAATCAGGCAAGACAAAACTTATAAGCTTTCCTCGCACCGCACGATGAGAGGAGACCAGGCCCCTTTCGTTCGCTATGTATTGCTGCAGATTGCTCTCCGCGCCTACACCCACCGACCTGACGGCTCGCCAGGCTTCGCCTCTTTCCACTTCCCCCAGCCACTCGTCGCCTGGGCATACACACCACACCACGACAGCGACTACCCAACTGACTGACTGACTGACTGATGGACGCAGACCGACACAGACAGACAGACAGACACACGAAGCGATGGATGGGCGTGAGTGAGTCCACTGTGTGTATCCATGTGAATGTCTGAATGGACTGGCGAAAGACACGACCACCAAGAAATTAATGACATCCGCGCACACATGTTGATTGATCAAATGGAGCGGTTTGGGGGGGCCTTGCCTTTGGTTGCAAATAAATATTGAATCAAAGGCTCTAAATATTGAATCGATCCAGCATATAGTGTCCGTCCCGCCATCCATGCATCATCCAGTCATGCCGTCCAGTCAGTCACTCACTCCCTCACTCGGCCAGCCTTTGCCCATAACACAAGACGTGTATGTGTTCGCAGCAGCATCCATCCATCCACCTACACACACAGGGCACAGGACACACAGAAATATGTCCGTCCATACGTGCGGTGCCCCGAGCCTCGTCTGTTCGTCGGTCGGTCACCTGTGTGTGCTGTGTGAATGTGTCCAGCCAGCTTAGTGTGATCCTGGGTCCTCGTGCGGCGAGTCGGCATCGTAAAATTCATCCTCATCGTCTCTGACACACACAAAAGACCGACGCAAAACGCATACATTATATGTGCGTGCCAGCAGCACTCCCCTCCCTCCCTCCAGGCCTCCCTCTCCGTAAGTGGCCCTTTCTTTCTTTGTGTTGTACTCGTCTTCCTGCAGCGTGTATCGAGGGCGGCGGTCCGTGCCCCGCCGCAGCAACGAAGGGTACTTATCCATCATCGACGAACACTGCTTGCCAGCACTAGCATCCGTCGTCACCACCGCCCCTAATCCTACCCCAGCCCTCCCCAAGGTGCCGCCCACACCCACACGCCCCCCCTCTCCCTCAGACGGCCCGCTCTCGCGGATACCCCGCCCATCGTAGCCACGCCGCCCGGGGCTGGCGCCATAGCCGAGACGAGACGCCAAAGACGATCCGTCATGCAATCCGCCAAGGATGGGCCGGCGGCCAAGTGTCTCAATGTCATCTGTGCGAGTGGCGCCGAGCGGCTTGAGAGTGGGGCGGCTGGATGAGGCCGAGGGGTAGATGAGAGGGGCCTGCAGTTTGGATGGAGGCATGGAGAGGGACGCACCCGTCGTCGCGCGAAGTCTCATCGACGTGCCAAGCGGCTGGGTGGTCGCGCCCGTGCTGGTGCTGGTGCTGATGTTTGCTTCCTCTTTCGCTGTTGGTGAGCTGCTCAGCAGGGGGTCCCTCAGGAACCGCTGATAGAGGGCGCTCTTGGCTGCACGGGAGAGGGAGAGGTTGCCGAGTGGTGCGTCGAGGCCGCTGGTGTCCTCTGTGTTGAGCGTTTTCTCGAGAGACGCCAGCACCTCGTTGACCGATCGGGTGCTCGGCCGTGGATCCCTCTCTATCGGGCGCGGGCTCTCGACGAAGTCCCTCTCTGGCTCCACGACAGTCTGCTGCAGAGCCTTGGGCCGCCATTCATCCCTCGTAGTGCCGTATCCCATATCGCCCCCCTCGCCCCTCTCGCCAGCAGCAGCCCTGTTGGCACTGCCACCCAGCCGCATGGGCGGCGCAGGACGTCTGGGCGGTGGGGTGCCCTCGGGTGTGTCCTCGCAGTAGCCGTATCCCTCTTTTCCCTCTATCACCTCCACCTCCCTGTCCTTCTGGTCGTCTTCCTCCTGCCCCCTCGCACTCGCCCATATCTCGTTGATGTAGGACCGTGGCGACGACAGGCCCGTCTTGAACGACACGCTGTGTGAGGTCAGGGCAGCAGGCGACGAGACATCCCGCGGCACCCTCGTCAGCTGGGCGATCTTGCTCGGCAGCTGAGGCACCCTCGTGCACGGCGCACGGTGACGCTCTTCTGACTCTTGCCCCGGCTGGTCCACCTCTTCGACACGAACACCCTGCTCCTGCTTCTGGATGGGCGGCGGCAGAACGTCAAGACGCACATCGGGACGGAACGAGCCAGAGAGCTGCTCGAAGGCGTCATCGGTGGCCAGGGGGGAGGACTGGGCTCGGGAGAGACGATGGAAAAGGGATGGCATCAGGGAGGCCGGGTGCTTGTCGGCACTCGCGCGGGGCGGCTCGGAGGGCAGAGGGTGGTGCAGCGCGTCTATGTGGTCGTCTGAAGCAAAAGTCACCCACCCTTCCTTTGCCGATGGACGGGAGACAACGTCCTCGGCGTCCTCATCGCAGGCCCCATCCTGGATCGGTTGGCCCACCCCGCCCTCCTGGCTGGTCTCGCCTTCTCCCTCTAGCTCTCTAACCTGTTCAGCAAACTGCTCCTCCCCCGTCCCCTCGTCCTCCTCCTCAACTGCTCCTTGAGGCTCGACAGCGAGACCTTCAGGCGGCTCGGCATCGGCACCCTCGCCCTCGGCGTCCTCAGCCGCATCCTCTTCTATCGGAGGCAGGTCGGGCCCTGCCTCGGCCTCTTGCATGGCACCCCCATCGCCCTCACCCTGCTGCTCTGTGCTGTCCTCCTCTTGTCCCTCTTCTTGTTCCTCTTCGTCTTCCTCCTCGTCTCCCTCAGGGATGCATTCGGACATGCGGGGCGCACGAGGAGGTGGGGCAGGGTCCTCGCGCTTGGCGGCCGAGAGGGAGTGGGCTTGGGGCATCTCAGGGAAGATCTGGCAGGAACTGACGGGGCTCTTGAACTCCTCATCGCTGTCTGGGTGCGAGGGTGGCTGGGGTGCCGGCAGCTTGGCCACGAGACCGCTGAAGTCCTGATCGAGCTTGTCGATTGCGCTGCTGCTGGCAGGGGGTGGGGCTGGGGGTGGCTGTGCTGCCTGGTCCAGGGAGACATGCTGACTGGGACCATCGCGCTCGAGCTCAATCTCCTCATGGAACTCCTGGACACACAAACGACAAAGGCGGACCGGACCTTGTGCATCGACGAAGCCATTGCATGTCTTTCTTTCTTTGTTGCGCTTGATTGCGCCGCGACCGACCAGTAAGTCAGTGGATGTGGGCGGCACCCTGAGAAAGTCTCGATCCAGCCCATCCGACCCAGCACTGGCACGCGAGTCCCGAGGGAGCGTCATGCCCCCGTCACCCCCCGCACCGTCCCCATTGCCACCATTGCCCTCATTGCCCTCCGCAAAGGCCGGGAAGAATGAACCTCGCCTGGGGCCGAGGGAAATGTCCGTCCAATCGCTACGACGCTCCTGCAGGGCTGACACACGCTCCTTCTCGAGAGGCGGAGGGGGCGGCTGCACGGCTGGGGGGGCCTGTTCTGTTGGCTTCTCGTCGGCCTTTGTCTTGTCTGTTGGCGTCTGGGTCTCGCCCTCGTGTGCGGATGGCGTGGGTGCTGTCTGTGCTGCCGTCTCTTCTGCCCTCTGTGCTAGCTCGTGCTGTCTGGCCAGCTGCTCGAAGACGCCCCTGTCAGCGGCGGGTGGCTGGTGAGGTGACGCAGGGGGCGGTCGGGGTGGCCGGCCAGATGGCCCACTGCCCCCACACCCATATGTCCGCCGCCTAGCCCTCTCGCGGCTCTTCTCCCGCACCTTCTCTACTACGTCCACACCAAACGTGTGAACCTGGCAAACACACAACACACAGAAGACAGATGTATGTATGTATGTATGTGTGCATCGTCGCTTCCATGTGTGTCCATAAGTCGTTCCTCACCTGGTCCCATATGCCTCTGACCATCTTAGCACCGCTGCGGACACCTTTCTGTGCGGCCTCACGCAGCGGCAGTGACACACCTCTCCGGTACAGACCCCCAGCTGATGAAGGCACCGACACCAGTGGCGCCATCTGGCCGCCCTCCATCACAAACGGCACTGTCAGATGCCTCGTGGTCACACTGGGTATCATCGATGAGAGAATGCCGGATGTGGGTGTACGGTTAAGACTGGAAGGGGTGGGGGTGGCGAAGGAACTGAGAGGCGATGGGGGCACATGGTGGTCGGACGATGGACGCTCTTCTGCAGGGGGAAGGGGAGGCGGGACGCTGGCATTCGAGCGGTGCCGGGCGGCCTCGAACACCTGCACAGCCGATACAGACAGACCTATTTGCATCAATCAAGAGCCTCTCGCTTTTGTTGTCTGCCGACCTTGATCCACGCCTGCATGTCTGGCGCTGTTTCGCTGTAGAGCTCCAGCACACGGGAAGCCGTACAGACCTGGCAACGAGAGAGTCCACCCATATGGCAGGAAAAGACCGTCGCATGTTTCTGTTTGGATCCATCCATCGGTACCTGGAATCCATAGTTGCATGCCGTGCCCATCCGCTTGTCCTCTGGGATGGGGGCGGCATCCTCCAACACCCGAACAGACTCTATCTGCAGATACACAGCCACCATCAACCACATCCATCCATCCACGCATCCACGAGCGGACGGGAGAAGTGGCATGTTTGCAAGATCCGTACCTCATTGAAGTTGATGGGCACGGACACACGCTTCGAGGTGCTCTCAGACGCATAGTAGCTGCATCCATCCATCCATGAGATATGCACACGATGACACGGATGCGGCATGAAAAGTGACGATGCGGCGACTTACATGCATAATTTCCGGAAGTCGATGGAGAAGTATCGCCTGTTGAACTGCAAGAGACCCCCCAGGGTGGTCCGGCGGTGCGCATCGCCGCCCTTGCGCTTGAACAAATACCCCACCACAACACACGATGCGCTAAGCTGAGGAGGCGTGACTGACGGCCCACTCTCCTCCACGGCCTCCTCACCCACCGCATCACCCCGGGCGGCTTCCATTGCGATTGGCAACGAAGTTTACAGAGGTGCGAGCTTAATGGGAGCAGCCTGCTGCGATTCGAACGAGATTGTTCTGCCGACTCATTCATCTCTAGTGATGGAGCAGAGCATTACGGGTCAGTGCATGGACCCATGCCCGGTGGAAGAGAGAGAACGGCGTGAGAGATTTGGCCTACTGCACCCGCTGGAGAGGCGGACGGATGCGACATTGACATCAGGGAGACCTGCTGCGCACCCTGACCATACTCTGAAGGTATCAAGAATATGTACCAATGTGACGTGAAGTGCCCTCGTCTATGCAGGAGTACGTCAGATCCACCGGGGACCCCTCGTCACGCACTCAAGACCGCCGCTCTCTCCGCCCCCCTCCCATCCTGCGGCTCGCCACGAAGACCTTGCTCGGCCAGCTCATTGCTTCAGTGCCGCTGGAGCAATGGGAGAGTGCATACGATTTCGCCTCCAACCGGCTGCGGGCCATTCGGCACGATGCCATTGTTCAGTCGGCAGTGATGGACACCAGGGAGATGAGCTGGCTGTTCGAGTGCAGCGTGCGTTTCCTCGCAGCGTCGTCCTATCTGATGAGGGATGAGTTTGTCAAGACAACACAACCTGCTCTGCACGATCAGGCCCTCTTCAGCTGCATGGCTTACCTCATGAACATCTACCGCTCGCGGCAAGCGGCGAGCAAGGGACGTCAAATGGATCCCAATGGCGATCTCGTGCAGCGAGATGACAGTGCAACCGTGGAGTTTTCGGCTGCCTATTTGGTCTTGTCGATAATGGATGAGCAGCGGCTGCAAAGCCGCCTCAAGCAGATCTTGAGGCTAGGCAAAAGGCCGTGCGTGGGGTCAGCGTGGCGGCTAGTCAAGGCAGTGTCCCACCGCAGTTTCGTCCGGACATTTCGCATCGCCTCGACACTCCCACTGCTGGTCAGTCAGCAAAGGGCAGCAGACCCACGTGACAATGTCTGTTGTCTGTTTATGGACTCCCGCCTGCGTGTTGTGGATCTTGTAGTTGCGGTGCATCTTTTATCGGCGCCTGACACGGATACGTCTGAATGCTCTGCAAACACTGCTGAGGGCTCATGGCTCCCCAAAGGGCACCAGGTGAGTGAGGGACGAAGAGGCGGACACGTAGAGAGTCAATGAGCTGTCCTTGTGTTTGTCAGGTACCCTCTCGACGCGCTTGCGCGACAATGGCGATTTGACAGTGTCGAGCAGGCCAGGGCGTTCATACAGCAGGCAGGGTGAGTGAGTGCACCAGGGCATCAAACTTTCCTTACTTGTCCCGCTGCTGCTCTCTTCAGGCTGCAGTGTGTAGATGATGGGAGTTCCTTTCTCTGCGTCCGAGGAGCGACGATAGATGCCAAGGCTGTCAACAGGTCACCTACGCTCACGCACTCAATGCAATGAGCTGCATCGGTCGGTTGATCGTGTTGTTTGTTGCGTGCCCCTGGTCCTTGTGGGTGGCTGCAGCGTATCGTGGGATGCCAAGGTGCTGCTCGGGGAGGAGATCACGTGTTTGGGCAGTGACCAACTGGCCAAGTGGATGCTGGCAGAGGAAGATGGGCCGGCAGAGACTGTGTAGATATGTAGAGTAAGGGGATGGACCTTTGGGCTGCATGTGTTCTGCTTAGTGCACCCATGTACCGCCAGTAGGCGACTTGGGACAGACCCAGACCCATACGTGCAGTTTGATTCGACTTAATCGACGTGTGAGCGGCTGTGAAGCACGTCATGGGTTACACGAATGGGTTAGGGCAGGGAGATGAAAATGGGCAAGGTCGAATGGGAGAGAAGAGCGCAATACAACACAAGGAGAGCAGCAACGCACTGATATGAGAGCAACAGCAGACGCAATCGCTTTTGTCGCTGTCTGACCCACCCTCTTGCTGAGACCAACGACAGGATGGCAGCAGCACCCGTCTTCAACGCGTGGCGCAGTCCAATCGGCTGGGCGATGGCGGTCATCTTCTGCGAAGCCCTTCCTATTTCATTCATGGTGCGGCTCACACTCCTGCTGCAGCTGAGCTGCATCTGTGAATCACTGACTCACCCACCCGACGTGTGTCATGTCGTGACTGATCTGCTCGTGTGTTGTGTGCAGGAGTCTACGTTCGTCGAGCTGCTGTCGGCCACATGGAAGGAGAAGTTCTACGAGAATGTCTTGTCCATCGACATATGGGTAGGTAAGGTGTCGATACCATACCTCTCTGTCCATACTGCCAGGACATGCATGTTGTCCATCCATCCGCAGGTGTCCATCGTGGCCATACTGCCGGGCGCCGTCTGCGGATACCTCTCTCACGCAGAACGACTCGGTCAGTCAGTCAGTCAGGCAGGCAGCCACCCCCCAACAACCGTGACGTGGCACAACGCACAGTGTGGTGCAGTGCACCATTGCATGACCATACCATGTATGTGTCTGGCTGTCTGTCTGTGTTGCAGGTCGGCGTCACGTCTTGATGTATCTGTGTCTGGCTGCGTCCATCCCGTGGCTCATCCTGGTTGTGTTCGAGTCGGTGAACGGCTTCTACTGGGCCTCCCTGGTAGTGGGCATTTTCGGAGGGAGGAGGATCGCACTCACCATACCCGTCATATCAGGTAACCACCGCACACGCCGCAGGAAGGGATCCAGACACGGACGGACACAGATGTGACTGACCAGTGTTCCTATGTGTGTGCACTGCAGCATGGATCACGGAGTGGGCGCCAGACTCCCACAAGACGCAGCTCTTCGCCCTGGCCTTCAGCAGCGTGGGCATCGCCAACGTGGCGGGCAATGTTCTCTCCCACCTGCACATCAAGTACCTGGGCATCTCACCTGCAACCATCCTCCGCATCGGCCTCGCACTCGAAACCCTCCGACTCTTCGTCCTGCTCGGCTTCCCCGAAAGGCCAAAATGCCGCTGGATGACCAACAACAGCAGCAGCAACGGCGGGGACAGAGAGAACAGCAGTGCCGGCGCCTTGCCGCCCTACAAGCTGACAATCGGCCCTGATGATGAAGTCATCATACGCGGTGTGTCGGCCGACAAGAGTGTGGGCCGGGCGAGGTCGAGCCACGACCACGACCAGGAGGAGATCCACAAGATCGTGTCAAGGCCGACCGTCAGCAACGTGCTGGCGTCGGCGGGGGGATGGGAGGAGGGCAAGGGCGGCCGACTGGCCTTCATCCTCCGCAGCCAGTTCCGGGATATCAGTGTGGCCTTCAAGACGCTCTTTCTGGACTACCGTCTGGAGCTGCTGATATCGGTGCTCATATACGGCATCAACACGTCCACAGGGCAGTCCTTCCTGCCCTTCCTCAAGATGCACCTCGGGCTGACGGCCAGCGAGCTGTCCTTCATCGCCACCATCCGGTCCTTCTCCACCCTCTCCCTGCAAGTGGTGCTCCTCCCCATCGCCCTCGGGCGGGGAGTTGACCCTCTCACCATGCTGCTCGTCTCGACCCTGTGTAAGCCACCAGCCATGATGGATGGATGATCCATCCCATCGATGCGATACATTCGTTCGTTGGTTCACCCCGTTTCAGGTACCACTGTTGCGCTGTCGTGTTACTCGCGTGCTACGACCATATCGGGCATCTACACTGGACTGGCCTTCGCAGGCAGGGCAATGCAACAGAGGCACGCTGCGAATGAGCCTGATGTGTTCGTTCATTCACCCCGCGTGTATGTGTATGTGTGCAGGTTTCCAGTGGATGACGTTCCCCCTGCTGCAGGGGCTGGTGGCTAAGTGCAAGGCAAGCAAACAGAACAGCACACTCGGGCGGTCACTCACTCACTCATCTCAAGGTATGGATGTTGTCCCTTGCTGCAGGTCCACAGTGTTGACGACGTCACACGATCGAAATCGACCGCCTGCCCGTCCACCAATCGCACCGCAGAGTCCGATGACAACAATATCGCTTCACCACCGCCTGAGTGAGCATCCGACCCGATGCACTCGCTCACATGCTCACCACACCTGACGTGCATGGACATGTGTGTGATGTGATCAGGATGGACCAAGGATCGATTCTGGGCGGCTTCGCTGGCGTATGCACTCTGGCCAAGTCCGTCATCCCCCTGCTCACCTCTGTCCTCTTCTCCCATTACCGATCCCTCCCGCCACCCTTTGCCTTCGCGCAAGTGGGCTTCATGGCGCTGACTTTCTTGATGGGGATCGTTGTCCTGCTGGTCATGGTCCTCATCGTCAAGAAGTCTCGCCAGAGGGGCTTACCCATGTATAAGAAGCCCGTGTGAGTGTGAGTGAGTGAGTGGAACGATCGCTGTTGGTTGTGTTGTACAGAGAGGTGAGGCGTGTAACGTTCTGTTTAGCAGCACGTATGCATGGGTACAGGGGAGGCTGGGCAGGGCAGTGGAAGAGAGAGAGGAGATGGATGTGAATAGCTTCATACATACAACACAGCGAGCGGGGAGATGGAGCCTCGGTGAGTGAGTGATGATCGATCGCATCAAGCAAGCGTGTCGTGTGTCTGTTTTTGGCGTGTGAAGAGTGCATGTCAGTCAGTTGAGCCAACCAGTCTGGGCGGGGGGGCGGGGACAACGAGAGCATTTCTTGGTGTGTGACCTAACCAGCAGTGAGACTTCACTTCACTCACTGTGACAGTGATATCGATGTATCGGTGGAGGATACATAGGGTGCTCCCTCCGGTTGATTGAATGCGTATACCCGTTTGCTTTGCATGGTCAGTCAGAGGATCGCATCGCATCAGGGGGTATGTAATGAATCCATCATTCATCATACATACATCTCACTCATTCATGCCATGCACACACAAAGCAATCAATCCGCTTGACAGACAGACCAGAACACCCACTCGAACAGCAACAACACCCACAGTCTCCCTCCACCTAGCTATCTATCTATCTGCTCTTTTGCATGCCTATGCCTTTCCCCTTCCCCTTGCGCACCATGCCCTTGCCCTTGTGCTGCACATACATACACACACGACACACCAATCGACTGGCTCGTCCATCAGGCGCCGATGCGTGCGTGCGTGAATCTCATCATTCATCCTTCTCTCTCACCTTGCCGCCCTTGCCGTGGATGCCTGGTTTGAACCCCCGGTCATCGGCTGACGACTTGGCGTCATTGCGCTTCTTGCCGGCCTTCTTGCCGCCGAAGCCCCACTTGGCGTCCTGGCGACCAACAGATATATACGGACATACAGGCGACCAACAGATATAAACGAGTGCCACGGTGTTGTGTGTACCTTGGCCTGTCGTTTCTTGCCCTTCTTGGGACGGTTGTCTGCCGGTTTGGCAGCGACTTCCCTTGGCCTTTTGGGCGACGGTTGGCCGTCGGCGTCGCCCTGATGCTTCCGCTTGACGCCCTTGCCACTGGGGCGGCTCTCCGTGGCCTGGTTCTGACCGACCCACAACACCAGGAGGTGTTCCTTCCCGGTGGTGTTGTCGGCTGCCATTCTACCTAGCTACCTACCTGCATGAATCGGTCGAAGGACTCCTCTGCCGTCGCCTCATCGTCGCCCTTCTTGCGCTCTGCAACGCACACACACACCAGAGAGGGGGATCTCACACGGGTGGCCTGCCTTCCTGTGCTGAAAGCTTTGTTTGGTGTGTGTGTGTACCTTACCTTTTCTCCACTTGTCGAACTTCTTGAGGTTGATGTTCTTCTCCATCTGCTTCTGTTTAACACGCTCCACTTGCACCTACACGTCCCCACAAGACGACAGACATACAGACACCAGTGACGTGACAGCCATCCCTCTCTCTCCAAAGGAGGCAAGCCTCGATCTCTCGCTGACCGACCGACCGAGGTCTCATCTCACTCACCCACCTGTTTGGCGAACTTCTTCTGGACCTTCTGTGTCTTGCGCTGCTCCACCGCCTTGATGCGCGCCTCCTCGTCTGCCAACTTGGCACGCACCTGATACACACAAACACGATGGGTGGGTGCATAGACAGGACACCGCACCCGTGTAATCATGTCGCTCACCTTGAGCATCTGCGTGTCTGATTTGAGCATTTCTGCCAGGAAGTCAGCAGGGCGGGAGAACTTGACACCCATGGCCTTCAGTCGACGAAGACCCTCCGTCGCATTCGCATGAGCGACATCATGGCTGACACACACACACACACAGGACACACCACACACATCGACGTGCATGCACTCGTCCATCGTCTTGATTATATATCTGTGGCCACCGGCTCACTCACAAGAGTTTCTCCCTCGAGATGTCGTTTGTGTGGTCCACTTTGTCGGCGTCCTCTGCCGGCCTGGGGCTCGTGACAGCCAGCGTATCGATCCACGGCACACGCTTCATCCCCTTGGGCACCTTGTACGCAATCTCCCCCAGCTTGTGACGCAGCCCTGCCTCATCGATCTTCCCATCCTTCCCATCCTTGGCGGCTGCCCCCGCCCCAGGGCTGTCCAAGATCCGCTCGCCTGGCTTTAAAGGGATGTCGCTAAGGAGGGCGGCTCGTGTGTCGTCCTCCTCATCTTCGTCTTGCTCGTCGTCGTCTTGGTCAAACTCGTCTTCGAGGAAGCCCACCGATGGGTAATCGTCGCCCCTGCCGCCAAGGGATGGCTTCGGTAACTCATCTTCCTCGTAGAGAGCTGGATGCGACTCGTCTGCAGCCTGTGGTGGAGCCTGAAGGGGATCACACAAGAAAGATGGAAGATTCATCGGCAGATCAACGCATGGTGTTTGTGAGGCCTACTTTGTTCTTGCGCTTGGTCAACGCGGCCAGCCTCTTCTTTTGCTTGATACGACTGTTCTCCATCCTGTACGATTCCGGACGGCTGCTTGGCGCAAAGCAACACTTCGCCGAGCTGCGAGCTTAGCTGAGCGATCCCCCCCGTGTAACAGAGACAGGTTGGTTTGCCTGGGGTAACCTGGGCCACGGGCTGATTGTTGCGGTTTGCCTCGGTATAGTGGGGCACAGCTGTGTGCTGCGGAAGCGACGAACCAAGAAGCCGCAACGCGGGCGAAGCCGGCCGCCAGGCGGGGTTCACCGGGACGGAGGACCGGCACCAGTCATCCGTGAGCACCTCTCTGCCCCCTCCACGATAGCATGTAAGCGCCACCGGGGGGGAGCGCCGTTGACCGCTATTTGCCGTGCTCTGCCTCCCCGGCTCCCTGCAGGCGGCGGAGCTCCAAGGCCGAGGCCGAACCACCGATGAAAAGCTCAGCACCACCAGTGAAAGGTACGGTAGGCCAGGGCTGCCGCCGGGACAGCTCCACACCGGCACACAGGCGGGCCGCCTTGGCTCGCAGGCTGGGATGGCTCTCTCTCAATGACTCCCTTTTCCTCCCTCCCCTCTATGCTCTGCTGTGTGTGCAGGTTCGTCTATGATGAGTGAGGTGCCGAGCGTCCCTCCCAGCCCCCGCACTCAGCGTGCACTTCAGCGGAGCGTCATGAATGAGCAGCGCATCGCAGGGGCCAGTGAGACCACCCCTCCCACACCCCCCGTGACGGACGAGTCGGACAAGGCAGCGGCCTCAAGTGGCTCCACTAACCACGATGGCAGCCCCATGAAGGAGGACAAGAGTGTCGACGGGCCTTCCGAGCAGCTCGAGGGCGTGCTTCAGCGGCCTCCTTTGCTCGGCTCGCCTGTCGTCGCCGACGGGCCGGTCCCCGGCCCGGAGAGTGAGCACAAGGGTGGGGCAGAGGACAAGAGTGGCGGCGAGTCTGCAGCAGTGGCCAAGGATGCAGACGCGCAGCCAGTCGTCGAGAAGGAGGAGACCAAGGTCAAGCAGGAGAGCTCACCGGCGTCGGTGTCGGTGGGTGGAGACGATGCCCCGGACAAGTCCGGTGGGCCCTCCCCGCCCCGGCAGCTCCACCGCTCTGTCGAGTCCAAGGCACAAGACACAGGCTCTTCCAAGGCAGTGGCCAAGCGAGGCAAGAGGAAGGGCAGCGAGGACGGCAGCAACGGCGGCCCCTCACAAGCCCGGCCCAAGCCGGTGCGCGATGCATATGGGCGCTTCACGACCAAGAAGCAGTCGGGCAAGGACAACGGCCAGCCCGCTGCCAAGTCGGTGCGCAAGTCTCGTTCTTCCAAGAGCGAGCGCAGGGACAGCAGGAGGTCGCGTAGCAAGACCTCGTCTGCGAGTCGAAATGCATCGCTGGGTGGGGAGGACGATGACGAGGACTATCAGCCGGCAAAGCGGCCGCTGTCGGCCGCACTCGAGTCCAGGCTGGCGATGCTGAGGGCGCTGTCGCCCAACAGTGACATTGAGGTGAGGTGTGGAGAGCGGGCGGGGCGCCACACCGACCGAGGGCGGTTGATGTGATGCCTGTGTGCCTGTGATTATGTGGTGATCGATCGATGTGTTTGTGCCACCCTCAGGTGAAGGACAATGGTTTGGATGTGCCCAGCCAGGGCAAGCTGGTGTCTGTGGCGGAGGAGGGCGGCGATTACGTGGTGTACTATAGACGGCAGGGGTGGTTCACCACCTTCAGGGCACCCATACAGATGGTCAGTCACACACACACACACAGAGAGAGAGAGAGAGAGAGAGACCCGACACAGATTGACATGAACCAACACTCGCCCGTCCCATCCATCCATCGCATCGCTTGTTTGTGCCCTTTCTCCGTATGGCATACATGCAATGCAGGTCATGCCCGGGACGGGCTGGAGTGACCAGCTGCTGGGCAATCGCAAGGCCGCCGCCCGCCGAGA